CCCCACCCCCCAACATAGGTTGTCATGATTAGAGAGGAGGCATGCAGGTACATGTAGCTATAGGCAGATTTATGGAGATTTTTCTTTGTTTCGCTACTTAAAGTTATAATCACTCCATTATTAGCCTTGACATGTAATGTCTGGCCCTGACAATGATTTGTAAATCTGGTAGGTCCAAATGTTATAGGTTGCCAACACAGGTGTCAAAATGTTATAAATAGGTTGATGATGCATGTCTATAACATGGATATTTTTAAGACCTTTACAAAACTTTCCATCATTTCACAATTCGGTAAAAATTAAGTAACCATTCCGCTGGCTACTATCCAAGACAAAACTGGTGTTTCCAAAACCTTCCCTTCAGCTGTGTACATGTGTGACCTTGTACATGTGTGTGTGACCTTGTACATGTTTGACCTTGAATCAACATTCTATCAGCTTACACGTCAAGAGTTGAACATCAAATACAGCATTGATTAAAAAAATATGGATGGTAAATGCATGTAACAGGTAATGTATGGGAACCCCTTTATTCCGTTACAAACTGTGTTAACCAGACTCAGCACCAGTGTCATCACTCTACAATGTATATATTTATTAATCTTTTGTTAGGATTTGTCATTTTATTCCTGATAGAAATTAAATACCATTCAATATATATTATAGTGGTATCCTATAAAACCCACCAAAGGGATAACCTTCTACCAAGTGTACTGCTGTCTTAGCCAACTGTATGTTTATAGACGAGGAGTGGAGACTGATAACTAGTTTTATTTAAATGTTTAATGTAAAAAAATCACAAATAATGCTGCAAGTTAAAACAATGATGAGCAATGTGGAAATACATGAACTCCTCCTATATAATTACATGTCCAATAATCATATACCATATTGCATGCAAGCCATATATTATCTATTGCAAAAGATTTCATTGTTGTGGTATTTAAAAACTTACCGATTGTGGTGTCTGTCGAGTATTGGCAGATTATCAATCTGATTTTACAACAATGTAAGGTGTACAGTCTACGGACATGTCATCTATACCCCCATCACAACATAAACACTGACATGCTATCAAAATATGCAATTAGGTACAAAATACTGTTCCTTTGTTTATTTCAGAAAAACAAGCCCATTCAATTTCAATCTATTTGCGGTAATACAACAGTATGTCTCTTTAAAAAAAAAAGTCTATTGTGTGGAAACTAGGAGAAATCTAACAACACTGCCACCGTAACGTACCCCGGCATTATAAGCAGTCTGTCCGATATTTACGTTAACTTACCTCCTTTTCTGTGATAAACCTGGTCATCACGACATCACTATCCACGGGAACCACACACTTGCTCATCCTGTACACGTCTTGCTTTGTTAACAACTCCACCGAGAACTGATATGTATCATCGATCGGCGGGAATCCCCACGTGGTGAGCGGTAGTTTTCCACGAGTGGACCTGGTCTATGGACAGATTCTGTTTAATTCAGTTAGGTTGTTTGAATTAAGAAGAGAAACCAAACACTCTTGAATAGGCGAACCGGTAAATATTTGTTTGTTTGGTTGTTCAGATAAGGAAATCATTGGCAAACCAGTGGCGTATCCAGAGACCTTAATTAAGAGGTGATATCTGTACATATACACACCAGTACAATTTGAATTGATGATAGAACTAACAGTGGCGGACACATGGGTGTTGCCCCCTTTTTCCTGTGTCCAAAAATAATCTGGACTTAGGGTTTTGAAGATTTTCCTCTTTTTCATATGGGATTTTCTTCTAATATCAACCATCCCGTGAACTATAATTTTCTATGGCAAGCAGCAGTTTGAATATCTATATATATATATACACATGTATGATACGTATGTAAATAGCATTCTAAGCTACGGTTCTTTCATAAAGCCCCAGATATTGAAAAAAAATCATACTTTGTTTTGTAAACGACTGCTTGGCGTAAGAAAAAAATACTTGTAATATTATGGTTTATTTAGAACTTGGGAGGTATCCATTGTCATTGGTAAGAAAGTTAAGAATTATTAAATATTGGATTAAGTTAAAAAGGACTAGTAATTGTATTTTGCAAGCATGTTATAATGGGGTTTAAACATAAAAAAATATTTATTTAGAATTGGCCTTGGTTACATCAGGGATGTGTAGTGGACACTTCACATCCCTGGTTACATATGGGAAACAGAAATAAATGATGATATGTGTTATAATGTTATTAGAGAAAGACTTATTGATATATATAGACAAGAATGCAAAGAAAACGTAAGAACATCTTCAAAGGGATATCTATACATATCTTTATAACCAGTTTGATTTACAGTGTTACTTAAGAAAACCTTTATCTAGAGAATATTTGAAAGAGATTACAAAAATTAGGTTATCTGCTCATAATCTAAATATAGGAAAAGGTAGATATCAAAATATTGAGCTTAGTCTTAGAGTGGTACTGTATGTAATTTAAATGATGTTGAAGATGAGTTTCATTTTATGTTGAAATGTCCATGTTATTCGGATTTGCTGTTAAATGTTTGAAAAGGTACAATGTAAAAGAAACAAGTATGTTTAAAATGATAAATCTATTTAATGTAAATAACACAAAAGAACTTGTCAAAGAAACCAATTAACTTAATGTGTTACACTCTCCATACTGTTTGTACACTGCTGGTATTGTATTGCATGTATTGTATTGTATTGTATTGTCTGTAGATATTGTAAATCAGGGATGTGTAGTGGAATATATCTCACTTTTGAAACCGATGGGTCAAAAGACCCATGGTAATAAAGAACTTGAACTTGATATATGCCTAAGGGTGCATGATAGATAAACCTGTATTTTCACCTGTGGTTTCATGTACACATGATCACCAGTAGTGATTTATTATACCTGTTAAAAAAAAAATCAAAAATTTCAAAGACAATAAAGCATCCACCTTAGCATCAAGTGAATAATAACCAATGTTAGCATAAAGCCTGGCATGTATATATATATATCACACAGAAATTTTGTGATAAATTAGTGCTGAAAATGGTTGTGTAAATAATTGCTTATTCATGGAAAACCTTAATCTTACCATCTATTATTAAATTTATATTTCGAATTGTCCATATCTAACAACTCAAGTGCGAATTAATGCAACACATTGTGTGCTTATATGACATTTAGACAGAATTTGGCTATATACATGGGGCATTATCCTTAATTGTAATTACTATATTCAATTAAATTCATTACCAAATGCACATTGCATATAGGCGTACAGAAATATACATATAGATAAATACTTTACAAACATCTTGTACAATGGGGGAGAACATATGCAATAGATTCAATACCATACATAATATTTACAAATTATGAAATTGGCATAAGTTTGGGAAAACTTTAAGTTTTTCCTAAGGTAACTTAGCGGACTCTTATGAAGCATAATTTAGTTGCATAATATAGTCGTTTAGGAAATAATACAAATAAAGCCTTAATCTAACCATATCCTTTGTGACATTTGAGATAAGACTCATGTGTGAAGTTTGTATATCCCTAAGGAGTACTCTCTGTAAACTTACTTTCATAACTCATTACTTTTGTCCATCACATTACGCGACAGGATTAGTGTAATAGCCCTTAGCTTGTGGACACTGACCAGGGTAATTGATCTAACAATTAGCGACACCTGTCACTTAAACCTCAGGGTACCTTTATTGTACGTGTATTTAACTGTGATATGTTGTATTGTAAATCAGTTAGGTTCTAGACTCTGTACGGAACACATCAGGTTTATTTTGGACACTCCAGAATATCCCGCCGTCAAGTCAAAAGTTATCTCTTATTAAATTTCAAAGTTAAACTTTAATCAACTCTTACGTCATCATTTCAACAAGACAAAACGTGCAGAAAAACCTTATGTTATATATATCCTTTTTAACGGGTGTTGCCCTTGTGCATATGCATGCATACAAATTCACAATAAAGACAAACAGTCAAATCATAATTCATATTTATTACAAAATAAATCAATATTTAATTGCCTAAATGCTCGCATAAACTACATGCACATGAAAAGCATGACACAAACATCAACATTTTAACCAAAAACCTACACTTTTACCATTGTTTCAGAGAATTTGTTAACACTCGCTCCGCTCGGCCATCATAAAATATAAATACTCTATGTTATAAAAATATAACCTGGAATAATACCGCAAACTCCGAAAACTATTCTATGCCTTATTCGATCTGTTGGACAATGGAAATAATGTCGATAAATTCTAGCTTTCTACGCTTGGCAGTGCTTGAGCAAGTTTAGTATTACATTTTCAGAAAAATAATTTCGCCTCGCTCTGCTCGGCAGGGAAATTATAATTGTCACAATCTCAGAAATAAGGAAGTTCTAATTCCTGCCCCCGAACATCACTGTGATAATAAATAATTGGGTTCTAGAATTACATAACATTATCTGTTTACGTATCGCAACCCGCTAGATATCGTACCTACCCCCTTATACTACTATATCATTCTAGAACCCAATTATTTATTATCACAGTGATGTTCGATACCGGAATATATCACATATATTCCAGAACCCGAGCCCCTGTGGGGCATCATAATTCTTTCTGACAAGATTTCAAAAATGAAATCAATTATTTGAGCCGCTGCTGTTGATTAAAAACGCTGCCTCCGACATTTCAACACACAGCTGACATAAGTCATCTCGACGGCTAGATGAACCGTCATTAAAAAATGGAATAATTGGTGTTATATAACGGTAAAATTAGTCTGTCAGAAGACAACATCTACCTAAATGATATCGGGTTTGGATTGTTCGTCCTCACATCAGACAAGGACAGGCGGATTATAAGCTGTTTGCTATATATATTTATAGTGTAATAACTGTAAACTCGACTGATACTGTTACATAAATAGGAATGTTTGCAGAAAATGTATGTTCTGTCCTGAAATTACGAGCACCAATCAAAAAAATTAAAAAATCTTTCTTAATAAAATCAATAAATACGTAACATAATCCTGTAGTTTTAAGGACCGGTTGTTATGGGGTGATGAAGTAGGAGACTTTTAGGTATAGATCATCCCGCTAGGTCTGAAGTAGGAGACTTTTAGGTATAGATCATCCCGCTAGGTCTGAAGTAGGAGACTTTTAGGTATAGATCATCCCGCTAGGTCTGAAGTAGGAGACTTTTAGGTATATATCATCCCGTTAGGTCTGAAGAGTTCTCCAACTCCACACCAGAACATCTGTAACACGAATACTGATGTAACCTGAAGTCTAACGTTAGTGCAGGCAAATTCGTCACATTAGTAAAGGTTTCACGAATTTTGGACCCAATGGAAAAGTAAACTATACAGACGTACATGTGATAAAATTATACTTTATATTTTAGATATATGGGCTGTCCGAGGTTGCTGATCCGTCGTCCATTCTTCAACATATTTATCGCTATGTTTCAGTAAGTACGTGACGGATCCGCCTTAAGTTTCATCATAATATAGGTTACCGTTGGGATTTAGTTCTGCTTGTTTGATTTTTTTTTTTTTTTTTTTTTTTTTTTTATTCAAAATTTTTTGTTGTCACATTCAAACAGAATAATGAAAGGCCACTGTATGTTATCTATATCTTTGAACAGAACTTGCATCTATAAAACTTTATTACAACAAATGCAAACATAAAAAAATTCATACTACTACATTGCTACATTAATTTTGACATATTTCATGAATGATTTAACTCTGAAGATTGTATAAAAAAAAAATACAAGATACAATCATGTATCCATATTTAGCATTCTGTCAATGAAAATCCATTTTTGATTTACCATAATCTTTTTTTTATTTGAATATGTATCAAGTCCACACTCTTCTACTTTTTTATAAAAAACATGTAAGTTTTCCATTCAGTAATTGTAGGGGTTTTCCTCCTTAACTTGCACATATATATGTAATATTTTAATATTAAAATCAAGAAATTTATTTCAGTTTCAGTTTCAGTTTCAAAAATACCAAACAACATGGTTACTGGGTCTCTTGCTAAGTCTATTTCAAATTGTGACCTCAAGAGATACATAAAGGATGACCAAAGAGATTGTACATGACAACATTCCCATAATAAATGTATTAATGTTTCTCTTCCCACACCACAGAATGTGCATCTTTCTGTTTCACTCAATTTACATTGCATTAATTTGGTATTAGTATATAGAATTCTATGAAAGAGTTTGAACTGAAAATTCTGAAGTTTAGTGTCATCTGTAATATATCTCGGAATTGAATAAAACTTACACCAGGATTCTTTGGGAATGTTTACATGTAAAATTTCCTGCCATGCATCTTGACTTTTCTTTGGTATTTCTGTGACTGATTTCAGCATAAATTTATAAAAATAGTTTGTAACCTTTTCATGTTTCT